TTCCTCCCACTGCGGGTTGCCCTTGTCAGGTTGGTGTGTTGGGGAGAAGGGAAAGATCCATTTGGGTGGCAGGAGCAGCTACTGAGCACTCTTGCTTCTTCAGAAGGCCCTTCCCCCAAAGATCCTTGGAAGAAGGTGGTCTCTGACCTCCCAGCCTCCTGTTCCTGACTTGTGCTTTCCCTTTTTGCAGCATGTCAGGGGTCCCTGCCTGCTTGCTCGGTTCAGCTCAGTCGAGAAACATCAGAGACTGCATCAAAGAGTGAGTCCTGGTGGAGCTTCCTGGGGCTGCAGGGGCTGGCAGGGCTGTGCTGGACAGGTGGGATGTCTCCCTGCTCCCTGAAACTCTTGGTTCTGGCTCAGTGACCCTGCCTTCACCCAGGCTGCAGCCACCCTCTTGTGCCTCTGGCTGGGGAGGTGGGGCTTGTTGACTCAGCTTTGAGGGGATTTAGACATGATTTTACACAGACCTATGTTTGACACCAGGTCATGGCCACAGTCCTGCCTGGTTCTAAAGCCTGGTGACTATCTCTGCTGCCTGTTCCTCTAAGGCTGTGGACTGCCTTGGTTTCCCACTGTTCTGGAGTGCTTCCTGTGGTCTCCACTGCCTTCCTCTTGTTCCCTCCCCAGGAGTCTGTACTTGTTCTCTTTTGCATCTTCTAGACAACCCTGGTTATGTTCAATGTGGTCAAGTTGGCTGGTTGTTTTCCTTCTGTGACACAGTGCATTTTCTTGCTGTTCCAGGGGTCAGTACAGAGTCATATACATGACCCCAGAATTTTGTTCAGCCAACTTGGAGCTACTTCAGGATCTTCACCAAACTCTTGGTGAGTTGGGTTATGGTTACGGATGAGTCGGTAGGCAGCTTCCATTCATATTTATGTTTTAAATCTTTGGAATGCTTGAACATTTCTCACCAATTTCTCACCACTGGTGAGCTCAAGAGACTAGGGTAGTGAGTGCCAATAAATGTGAGTGCCAGAAGATCCTGTCATTGATGGAAAAAGAAAATTGTACATGAGTAGTGCCTTCAGCATGGGAACATCAGACAAGTCACCAGGGACAGAGATGTTAAAATACTTTAAATCACAGGAGTGAAATGTATATCACTGAATATTTTAGTCTTTTAAGTATCTGAACATCTCTGATCTTAGATTGTAGCAATGAAATTGTTTTGAAACACTCAAAGTGCCACTAAAAGATCTTCTTTTCAAAGGTGATGCATCTTAGAGTAGGAAAAAGTCAAGGCACGTAAACCTCAAGCATTTTTTAACTGAAACTGAGTTTACTGCTGTAGGCAAAGAGGACTATCTAGGTGGAAGACAACCCATCTCAATTTCTGGAGTCCCAAAAAGCTGTATGTTTGACCTCTCTGACACTCTGAACATAGAGATTAGAATGGGCCATCTGTAGTCATGGTGAGGTGGTTTTCTGAGTCAAAAACCAGAAGGTTATTTTCCATGGGCATCTCCCCTCATTCTTCTGGACTTTCACTTAACTCTTCAGTGCAGACATGAGACACTGGCTTTGTTTTACAGTTCAGAAGATGAAAGTAATGACATCTGTAAAGGGCATTTGTGCCTGAAGCTTGGAAAGCAGGGGGTGGGAAGAGGTTTTGTCAGAGACAGATCAAGATTTTGACCCATTGTGAGGGATGTTGGAGATGTGGAGCTTGGAGAAGGATGGTGGTGGAGGAAGTTTGGCAAAGTCCTTTTTACAAGAGAGTGTTGAGTTGGGAGTTGGTACAGGAGAAGATGTCCCTGGAACCAAAATTTAGAGAGGCTGTTGGTGCCTTCTCAGGAAGGCTTGAAATGGAGCAGAGTGGAGAGTTGGCACGTTGTCCCTTGCCATCTTGGCTTGTCTTGGTCATGTTTCTGTGCTATGGTTTTGTGCCCACCAGGTATCACCCTCCTAGCTGTTGATGAAGCTCATTGCATTTCTGAGTGGGGCCACGACTTCAGACACTCCTTTAGAAGTTTAGGCTCCTTGAAGAAGGCTCTCCCATCGGTGAGGCTTTGCTGTGGTTGCTTCCCAGTGGGAAAGAAGGATTTGGTAGTTGGGAAGTACCAGATTTTGGATGTTGCTGCTTTGGGGTTGATGCAGTCTCCCTGTAAATGATTGAGCTTTGTGGGGTTTTTTTTTCCCCACATGCTTAAAGGAAGGAGATTATTAACATGGACTTACCAGAAACTGCTGAAAATGAAATGACTTGGTTGGATCCTTATGCTGTGGAAGGTGATGACCCTGAGCTTCTTTTTTAACAGTGAGGCTTTTGGTTTTTAAATTGGCTGGGTGAGTGGAAGAGCAAGGAACTATGATTTTTAGGCACTCTGAAGCATTTCTTGCAGAAGTCTAGACCTCAACTTCACATGCTGAGCTTGGAAGCTTCATCCTAGGCTCCCTAGATTGAGCTGGCCATGTAGTTGGACTTGATGATCTTCAAGGTCCTTCCAACCAGGATGATTCTGTGATTCTATGACCACATCAGGAAATTCCTGTGGAGTTGTTGGAGATGGAACTAAAGCACACATTCAGAAGAAAACCCTGTCTTTCAGCAGTGCTCTGTCCCTGACTCCTCTCTGGAGCAGTGTAAACCAAAGTGAACCATGAACTACATTTTCCAACTGAGCTGAGCTGATCCAGTGCTCATGAACAGATCAAAGGGCCCATTTACCTGCTATTTCAGCTTTAACTTGGGATTTTTTTTGTTAAGAAAGTGTCAGTGAGAGCTCTGGAGCTTTTTTTATTCTTACTCATTGCAGGTTCCCATTGTTGCTTTAACTGCAACTGCAAGTCCATCCATCAGAAGAGACATCCTGAGCTGCCTGAACCTGGAGAATCCTCAGGTCACATGCACCAGTTTTGACAGACCCAACCTGTTCCTAGAAGTGGGACGACAAAGTGGAGATCTCCTTAGGGATTTGAAGCAGTTCCTGGCCAGGAAAGGAAGGTAAGGATTGAAGCCTGTTGTCTGGTGGTCCCTCAGACCCACACTGGTGTCCCTGTAGTGTGTCCCAGTCCAGAAGTGATCTGGGGAGGAGGAAGCTGGTCCTTCTCTGGAGCTTGGCTCTGACATCATGCTGGTCATTTGCATCCTGTGTTGTTTTGCCCACTCCTCTCCCAGTTTAAAGGGTTTTGAGGCAATGAGCCATGGACTCTGGCTGGTGGCATGTCCTTTGCTCCTCAGAGGACCAGCAGCTTGAGTGATTATGATGGATTGGCTAGTGGGTTACTTCCCAGACAGAACTGTCCAAAATATGTGCAAATCCTTTGTCAATCTGCAGTAACACCATTTTTTTAAAAGAAAGCTCATCTGAGCAGAAGAGTTGCAGTCCTTTGGTGTTAGGAGAGCCAGTGGTTGTACCCATTCTGGTTCTGTTCTCCTTGTCACAAGCCACCACGTGTGCCTCTACAGCAATGAAAAGGAATCTCTCATTGGGCATTTGTACCTTATTATTTGAACTGAGACCTTTCCAAAGTGTCAGCTGAACAGCAGATTTCCTGATGACTGATGAAGGAAATGATCATGGAATCATGGAATGGTTTGGGTTGGAAGGGCCCTTCAAGATCATCCAGTTCCAACCCCCCTGCATGGGCAGGGACACCTCCCACCAGCCCAGGTTGCTCCAAGCCCCATCCAACCTGCCCTTCAACACTGCCAGGGATGGGGCAGCCACAGCTTCCCTGGGCAACCTGGGCCAGGCTCTCACCACCCTCACACTAAGGAATTTCCTCCTCATCTCTAACCTAAATATCTCCTCTTTCAGTTTAAAACCATTACCCCTTGTCTTCCCAATTGGGAGCCCTAAAGACCCTAGAGACTAAAATCTTCAGTATTTTGGAAAATAACCCTAAAAGCCCCAGATAATTTCCAAGTCTGTTTTCCCAAAGGACAGACAGTTTGTGTACGTATGGACCAGTTAAACATCTGCTTCAATTTCTAAATCCCCACCAAGCAGAACTGCTGGAAAAGCTGCCTTGCCTTTCAACTTGCAGAAGGATGATTTCTTCTGTCCTGTGTCTTCACCTTCACAGCACTTCTGTGTATGAGTTTGAAGGCCCCACAATCATCTACTGCCCTTCAAGAAAGGCCACAGAACAGATTGTGGCTGCCTTGCTGCAACTGGGTGTGGCCTGTGGTGCATACCATGCTGGTATGGGAATCAAGCAAAGGAGAGACACTCACCACCAGTTCATGAGGGATGAAATTCAGGTATGTGGGAAGCCAAGTACACTTGGTCCTCTTTATAATTGTTTCTGGGAGAGGGAAGAATTTGGGCATGTGTTTCCCATTTACTCTGTATCCAGAAGAAACTGCTGCTCTGTGCTGACAGGATTCCAGGCTTCTGTTTCAAATTCCTTTAGCTGGTCTCTTACGAACACACAGCAGCTGAGGAAAGCAGAGGTAGCTGGAATAATACCACATGTTCTGGGAGCTGATTTCTTCACAGACTGGTTTGGGTTGGAAGGGACCTTCAAGATCATCCAGTTCCAACCCCTTGCATGGGCAGGGACACCGCCCAGCCCAGGTTGCTCCAAGCCCCATCCAACCTGCCCTTCAACACTGCCAGGGATGGGGCAGCCACAGCTTCCCTGGGCAGCCTGGGCCAGGCTCTCACCACCCTCACACTAAATAACTTCCTTCTAATGTCTCACCTCAATCTCCCTCCTTCAGTTTTAATCCATCCCCCTTGTCCTCTCCCTCCCTGCCCTTGTCCCAAGTCCCTCCCCAGCTTTCCTGGAGCCCCTTCAGGCACTGGAAGGTGCTCTAAGGTCTCCCTGGAGCCTTCTCTTCTCCAGGCTGAACCCCCCAACTCTCCCAGCCTGTCTCCAGAGCAGAGCTGCTCCAGCCCTCCCATCACCTCCGTGGCCTCCTCTGGAATCTTTCCAGGAGCTCCATGTCAAGTTGTCACCAAGTGCCTGAGCATGAATCCAGGCCTGTTCTTGATGCTGATTTCCAAAGGTTCAGCATGTGGCTCCTGTTTCCTAGTGTGTGGTGGCTACAGTGGCCTTTGGAATGGGCATCAACAAAGCAGATATCCGGCTGGTGATTCACTACGGCGCCCCCAAGGAGATGGAGTCCTATTACCAGGAAATTGGGAGAGCTGGTCGTGATGGGCTTCCTGCCTCCTGCCACGTCCTGTGGACTAAGACAGACCTGTCCTTTAACAGGTAAAGGACTGGGGATGATTGCTTTGACACAGGTTGCCAAAAGAGACCAAAAGGAAGTGGGTTTGGTTGCAGATGTGCTGAGTTTCTCGGGGTGGTTCCACATCCCTTCCTGCAGTGCTAAGCAGACTATCCTTCTTCTAGGAGATAATCCCCAAGTGCACTAATGGCAAGGAGTTTGTCCTTGGTCCTGTTCTGCTTTCTGGAGATGCTTTCCAAGGCAGGCAATGATGAAACCTGGTCACTTCTCAATCATCTGACCTGTTCTCAGACCCATCTGAGGAGGTGCCAGATGGATCATCACCCTATAAGAGTGTTGATGCTGTAGAATTTCTCATTTTCTCCCTCCATTTTTTATGTATAAATAGAGAAATGCACATTTTCTTCTGGGTGGGGGAGTCCTGCTTGTAGAGGTCTGCTGGTATCTTTGTCCATAGCTTGTGTAGGATCACAGAAAGGTCTCAACTCAGTCATTTGAACAGACTGCCAGGGTTGGAAACCATAGACTTCCCTGTTTGTTTTTTTTTTTCTGCCAGGCAGGCAGAAACCTTCTCAGCTCAACTAATCCTGCAGGAACCCCCCAAAGTCCAATAGGAACTCCCCAAAAACCAATAGGAACCCCACAAAGTCCTGCAGGAGCTCCACAAAGTGTTGCAGGAACCCCACAAAATCCAATAGGAACCCCACAGAATGCAGCAGGTCTGGTTTTAGCAGGATTTTTTTTTTCCCCTAGCTGTTTCTGGTGAATTGGACCCAGCCAATCATCTGGCATGTTGCATTTTTGCTGTGGGACAGGAGAATATTGGTCAATATCTCAGGCTCTTTTTCCCTCTGGCTCCCAGACACCTTCTGTGTGAGATACGCAATGAAAACTTCCGGCTGTACAAACTGAAGATGTTGGCAAAAATAGAGGAGTACCTAGTGTCCAATGCCTGCAGGAGGAGGTGAGTACTGGAGTTTAATGCTTTGTCACCTCAGTCAGCTTTGACAAGAGCCATTGTGACTTGATGACAACTGGAGCTCATTACCAGAAGGCTTCTTATCCTCACCATGTGTTCTGCGATTCAGCCTATTTATGCATCTGAGTGTTGTCTTATTTACTTGGCAAAAAACACAGTGTTTCTTTTTTTCTTTGGAGGAGTCAAAGCCAAATAATTGGCTCCCCAGTGGATTGATTAATGAGGGCTGATTTCACCTCTTTGTTTTCTGCAGTAAATTTCAGGTGTAAATTCCTGGTCTTTTCTTTTAATTCTGTACTTTCCCTCGGGCAGAATCATCCTGTCTCATTTTGAAGACAAACAGCTCCGAAAGGTTTCCTCTGGCATCATGGGCACAGAAGAATGCTGTGATAATTGCAGGGCCAGGTAAGCTTGTTTCCCTGGAGACTGGTCCATGAGGTTATGTTCTCTCAGGCTGACTTGCAAGGCAAATTTGATGCATCTGATCTTGCAGATGTTCAGCCTGAAGTTTATCTTGGACCAACTGTCTCTAAACCTTCTCTTCAATAGCTGAGCCAGGAGGTGTCTTGAGAGATGGAAGTGAGGCTGGAGGGAAAGCCTGTCAACAAAATATGGTCACAGGTCCTAAAAGGGTTTAGAGCAGCACTCTGACTGTGAAATAACTTCTGTTCATCAGTTGAAATCCTCTTTGATAATGAATCCCTAAAGAAAACATTTGTGAGTGGAGTGTGATACCATGTGTCTAATGTGAAATTGCTGGAGTGTTAAGGGAGTGGTTCTCCTGTTCCAGCCTGTGCTGACACAGATTCTTTCTAGCATTGCTAATCATCTCCACGATGGGCTGGAGAGAAGCCAGGGGGTTGGTAGTCACACAGGTATGAGCAGAAACACCTTCCTCAGGCTCTCCTGTGTGCACATAGATGCTTTCCCTGAAGTTAGAACAAAGGATTCCTTGTTCTTGCTGGGAGCCTGGTGCTTCCTGAGCAGAGGTGAGATGCTGTGCTGTTTGCTTTCTGGTAAAAGGTTATCAATTCAGCTCCATTTCCTGTGTGCTCAAGGATTAATGTCTTCCCTTAGCCTCTACTAAAGCTAACCAAGGAGATAATTTGAGAGATCATAATTTCCATCTTTTGCAGTCACATTGCTGTGCCAGAAAAGAGCCACATAGTGAATTTGTGTTGCAGAACTAAAATTACTTGAAATAGATTATTGTCCTGTTTCTCATCTTTAGAAGTCATTTGTGTTAGTAATTTTTTCAGTGGGAAGGTCAGTAAGAAACACATTAACAAACCCTAGGAAATCTTTCATGGGGTTGCTGTTTCTTTCTGGTTTTTTCCCCTTTGGTTTAAAAAAAGGCAACAAAACCTCTTTGCTATTAGGTGCAATTAAATAAATGCCTCATATGCCTGAACCAGCCCCAAGATTCAGAAGATTGCTGAGACAATCTT